GGCGTCAGCTACAAGTCCACAAGTGCTGGGCATTCTCCACTTGCTTCCCACAGTTCTCCAGCCGGTACGGCGAGTGTTTGATTGATGAGGAGAAGCCGAGGGAGTATAGGACTTATTTGGATATGGGCTGCTTTAATTGGCTAGTGAACATTAGGCCGGGTTACCTGACTTTCCGGGTGGGGAATCAGTGTTTTATAGAGCCGTATCTACCTTGCCGATTCGCCCGCAAATTCGGTTATGACCAACTTTATGTTGGGAACCCGCGCCAGCAGCTTCGGGCTCATGGAGGTCTGGTGGACGGTCTTCGTGCATGGTTGTGGACCGTGACTGGCTGCACTGGTGCTAGGTTCAGTCTCCCAGGTACTGAGCGGCAGTTGAACCTCACTTTCTTGAGCTGCAAGTGGTTGCTAGCAGCTAATAAGACTGTCCCTGTGAAGCCTATCGAAGAGTTGGTGGCCGAAGAAGCCTCTCAGCTTGATTCTCGTGTTATCCAGGACGGTGCTCGATCACAGAGGGCTCAGGGCAAGACCCGCCGACTTGATGCAGAAGGTCACAGGGCCTTTAGTTCTGCTGGAGAGGCCTCAGGCGGAGACCCTGAAGACTACGAGGCAGATTTGGAGCAAGGTTAGTCACCTATCTTTCTTTTTCCCTGCATTTCCAAATTGCTATTTCTGACCACTATTCGATGTTTCAGGGACAGCGATCAACAGTGACGACGAATTCCGTCCTTTTACCCGGGCCAGACCTTCGATTGCTGTCCGTGCTGATAGGCGGAAAAGATTAGCCCACAAGCCGCCTGCAATTTCACGAGCATCAGAGATGGACTTGGCTGGTGAGGATCCTGTTAGTGACGGAGGTAACGTCTATTCTATAGATCATTTTCTTGATCGTTTAGAACTTCTGGCTCATGCTTTCCCATCCTATGCAGGATATCGTGAGGAAGGCGAGATGAGTCCTGATGATTGTGCATCTCCTGGTGAGCCTGACTCACCGCACCAGGTAGAAAAGCCTGCAGAGACCGCCCATGTTGGGGAGTCTGTCAATGAAGGACCCAGTTCGGTGATTCCAGGTACATCTTCAAGAGGTAACTTGTCTCTATTGGCCATAGTTTCCTTCCTCTTCCCTTATATCTTTTTATGTCAGATTTTTCGATTGATGACTTCGATGGGGAGGGCCTGCCTATGGACACTTCTATGTTCAGCTTCATGTATGACTCTCCTCAGATCGATGGCCAGCCGCCTCAGGATATGTTTCCTGAGTCTGTACTCCCTCAGACTCCCGGGAACGGTTATTTTGAAGGTGCGTGCCTCTTCTCAAGCTAACTATAGGACTAGCCAATTCCTTGACTAATGCAACTATAATATGACGTTTCTGTTTTGTGCCTAACAGGGGCTTTTGTTGAGGCTGACCCTGTTGAGCCGGCTGTACGACCAACTCCACCAGTCGATGCAGCTACAGTCCTTACATCTCCACCACCCCCAGTGACTCGAGGGGGAGGAGGTATAATTTAATTAACTGAGCAAAGCCATTCATTTCCTTATTGAGGCTTTTGACGAATTTCTCTTCTTTGTGTAGGGCTTCCTTCTCAGCTTCATGTCCTCGTTAAGGAGTTGTTATCGGGGAATGACCCTGAGAAGATCATCATCAGCGTAGAAGTCCGCTCTTATTTCTCCTCCCTGACTGCTATAATTGGCAAACTCCTCCACGACGGACTTTCTCTTCGCCAATTTAAGCCCTACCTCGATTCCAAGATAAATTTGATTAGGGACATAGGATGTCCGGATCTGGCGACGGCTATGGTTGATGACCTTGATCGCTTAGAGCGTGAGCTTCAGATGTTTCATGAGCTCCGGGATACAGGTGCCTCTTCATTCGTTGCTGCCGAGTTGGATGCTCGCTTACAGACATGGCGCAGTACTCGGATGGTTGCCGAGCTCGAGATTCAGGTGCAGCGGGGCCGCATAGATCGAGTTGAGGCTGATCTTGCCACTAGATCATCTTCCCTTGAGGAGCTTGATTCTCAGATAGATCAGCTCCGACGAGAACTCCGTGAGAAGGAAGACACAAAGATGCAAAATCAGCAAGCACATGCTGCTTTATCTGATGAGCTGAAGTCCTTGAAGCAGACACTGGCTGAGACAGAGGAGGTTGCTGATTTTTTTTCAAATTTCCCCTTCACTTCTCCAACAAATTAAAACGTAAACACATAAGAGATAAGTTTAAAAATTAAAGCATGCAATGGTAAATCTATCCCACATTCATAACACAAAGCATGTATTAGCTAGATATTGTCATATTGATACGACATGTATTGAAAAGTTTTCTTAAACCAGTTTGTGAAGTGCTACTAATAGGATACTCATGATACCAGTTTTCTTGCAATTGTCATTATTGGTACCAGTTTTCCTATTGGTGAAGTACCAATTGTCATTAAGATGGTTAATGACGAGTTATAGAAAAATGATTTTAAACCAGTTTGTCGTGATACCAATTGTCATTAAGATGAGTACCAATAGTTTAAAACAGTTTGTGAAAATTGTAACCAGTTTATAGTAGAAAACTGGTATCATTAGTAGCAATAAAACTCATCTATATATTCTCCCTTTAAAAGAGCCAGTTCCTTGAAAAACTTTCCCCTTCCTAAATTAGCCTTCAACCAATTTAAATATACTCAAATTCTCCCTTAATATCGTTACAGAAAAATCGTCATCATCATCGGAAATTTGGGAAGCCGAGACGTTACAGAAATTCCATTTCCCAAATTCCTAAATTAGGCGAAAAGTTCATCAGTTTTCCTTCTCCGACGAAGCCGAGGCGTTACAGATATTTGATTTCCCATCTCCGTTACGCCTTCCTCTCCGCCGAAACTATAATATAACATATAGCGACAGAAAAATAAATATTTTAAAACATAAAGGGAGTTATATAGGCCATAATAAGCTCTGACATATAATGTAACAACCAGAAGTTTCGTATCGCCCCAGAAATACCCTTTTTGACTGGATATTTAAGGTTATAATTGGATTCTAAATCTATCTAAAATTTTAAGAATGCGATTTATCTGCTTGGTTTGCATATGTCACTACTTCATGTTTTGGCTTTTTGATGTTGTGATTGTGATCTAAGTTTTTGTAATTTTAACCAATTGTATAGTCAGCTCAAGATGTGTTCTTTAGAACTTATCAACTAGCAAAACATAAAGCACCTCCTTACACTTATGATAGTTATGCTAACGAAGCTCTGTCCGAATCTGTATCATACAATATTAGATAACCCCAAGTTTCATAGAATGTGTTAGAAACAGTAATATACAAAAGGCTACGCAGTACTGTCGCAAAATCAACTAAACTATATGTCCTCTTATTCCATGTTTTATTGAACTTACAGAGTCAAGACCACGAAATAGTAAAAGACAACTTTTCTTAAACCTCAATGATATATGCATATTTCCTTACCCTCTGTGATTGATAGTTTGGTAAACTACTTTGCAGTGTTCATGTCCTGGGGAACATGGATCTACTATGTTTTCTTGTAAATTCATTAACTATAATTCATTTTCTACTATAAACCTGTTTGTTCTATGTTATCTAATTTTTTAGGCAAAAAACTAATAGGATACAAATCACGCATAATCCCAAACATATAGGATTATATGCATTGCCCATGCACCCAGGGAAAAAGAAAAACAGATGATATATTGGAAGCAGCTCATGTTAGTCTCTAGGATGGAATGACCAGGCACATATACAAGCATGTTAAAGATGTTTATAATGTATTTTCACTCAATCCTATTTTACTTTTCCATAAATTACTCTCAGTCCACTTTATTTACAATTGTTATTATGTATAATATTGGCAATAAAACTTATCGGGAAAAGTTTTCTTAAACCAGTTTGTGAAGTGCTACTAATAGGATACTCATGATACCAGTTTTCTTGCAATTGTCATTATTGGTACCAGTTTTCCTATTGGTGAAGTACCAATTGTCATTAAGATGGTTAATGACGAGTTATAGAAAAATGATTTTAAACCAGTTTGTCATGATACCAATTGTCATTAAGATGAGTACCAATAGTTTAAAACAGTTTGTGAAAATTGGAACCAGTTTATAGTAGAAAACTGGTATCATTAGTAGCAATAAAACTCATCTACCACTTTATTTGCAATTGTCATTATGTATAATATTGTCATTATGTTTAACGAACTGGTGGCAGCAAACTGTTGACGAACTGATGTCCACTTTTAAAAGCAACATCAGTTAATGTTTTTCATGTTAGGATTATAAGTAACCTCTCAACCTTATGAAGTGCTACTAAGAATGTGCGTGGAAATTGGAACGAGTAGTCTGAAAGAACAATTCAATAATAAATATTTTAAAACATAAAGGGAGTTATATATTTCAATTAAACAAGAGGCAAACAGAAATCATATCAAATCAGAGTTAAAGCGGTGAAATTTGCACGATTTTGGAGGGTTTTTGATGGATTTCAAAAGAGGAAAAGTACCTGTTTTGAAGTGGAGGCGGATCTGGTTCAGGGGGCGGCGGCGACCAGTCACGATGGAGGCGGATCTGGTTCAGGGGGCGGCGGCAACCGGATCTGGTTCAGGGGGCGGCGGCGACCAGTCTAGGAGCGGATCTGCTTCAGGAGGCGGCGGCGATGTGATGGCGGCGGTGTGACGGCGGACGGCGGACGTCGGACGACAGAGTTGACGACAGGGGAGTTGGGTTGCTAGGGTTGGGAAGGGGGAGTTCCTTCTCTTTTGGGGTTTTTTTCTGAAGTGAGGAGAGAGATCAGAAATTGGGGAAGGAAGAGAAGGTCACGGGTGCTGGGTGCTGAGCTGTCTCGTTCCACGTAAGCGCGAGTTGTTTTTGCGAGTTTAAACGCGAGCCAAATAGCATTTCTGCTAAAGGTATGACCAAAACATGTATCGGTTGTGATTTCTTGCCTAAATTAGGTGATTTCTTGCCTAATTCAGCCTTCATTAGACTTGGTACGATGCTTGACTTGGCAGATGTACATAGATAAAGATCTTTGTAAATGTACATAAAAATTCCTCCTTTTTAATTTTTTAACTGATCAGGCCTTTGGCCCACCATTATTTTTTATGTTAGGAACTAATATATTGTTTAGTGCAATTGAGTGAGCGAGACACCAATATAAGTAGAGAAATAATTTATTCTCCTCATGTTATTATTTTTCATATAATTCACAGAATATTTTTGTCTACTGTTACATATTCGATGGTATAGCACTTCAAATTGGAACAACAAGTGTGTATGAACAGTTCCCAACACATAATATATTTCTTCACACCTATGTATGAAGATATCCAACAGAAGCTTGTGCCTCACCAATCTCTGTTCCACTTGCAGCTGTTCCAAAGGCAACTGCGTCGTATACACCTATATGTTTCCACTTTTGAATGTGGGTTTAAGAAGTTAGCCATTTCAAATTGTGGGTAAGAAAATATTACCCATTTGTTAAGCTTCATATACTACCAACGTGTTGATATATGAGAATGTTATGAGATGATGTTTCACATTTGTTTATCTTGACACTATTTCAGGTGACTGGAAACCAAGTTGCAAAACTCGCCTTTCATAACGTTGGGATTAGAGTCTGTAGCTGGCATCCATACTAACCTATGCTTGTGAGCTCTTCTTGGAATTGTCAAATTGCTAGATGGCAATTCAAGGGCTCTTGTAATGTTTGCAGGTTGCAGAGCTCTTGGTAAAAAGGGGAACAAATGAGGGTATTTTCTTGGTGAGATTCATCCTGTGGTTGCTTGGCACGAGGCTGGGGACCCTCCTTTGTCGATCCTCCCTCAGCCTTCGCAGAGAGTTCTCATTCATTAACAAGTTCTTAGAGATGACAGTGGATAAGAGAGAAGCAGTTCTAAAGAGATGGAGCAGGGAGAAGTCTTTTGTATTTTTAAGGTTGACATTTCTTATGAACAAGTCCTTCTACTTGTTTGCCTTCTACTCAATGGTAAAGTTTAAGCTCAAAAGCAGGAATTTTTTTTTTCAAGCTGAGTCAACAAATTTTGATTTCGGGGTAATATAGATACAACCCATGTACTATAGGAAAATAGTCAGCAAGTACCTCTAAATTCTTTTATTAGCACGAATTTATATATTAGTCGTCTGTATTTGTCCTATATGGAACAAGGAGTCTCCCTGTAATACACGAAAGACCAGAATAATTTTATGAAACATATTGACATCACATGTGACAAGTATGGATAATACTAAGAAAACTCCGTTAATTTTTAGTATATGTCCTAGAAATACAAGATCTTGATTTGGTTTTTAAGTGCTCTTGTATGCAAAGAAGCAAATTGACGGATATCATAAAAATAATTAATTTCAACCTTTTTTCCCTTACTTAGTTACTTTATGCTCCCATTTGAAGATAATTATGGAAGTGGTGGCACGTCCTGTTTATAGAAGGTACAAAGTCATTTTAAGTCTATTAAATTGACACAACTGAAACTTCAGAAATATGAAATTTATCCTTGTGATAGCTTTGATTTCAGAAACATTTTTTATAGCTTGTGGGTTGATTCTCTAATGTTCTGCAAAATGGCTAGATGGCATTTATAATTTCTCATGACATGGTCCAAATTATTTGATAAGAAGAGACACTAACAAAGGGGATCAACGTAATGTATTGCGAGATATTTATCATCTACACTACCCTAGCTGATGAGAGCTAGTTTTGCTTTGGAGCACTTGTCGCCGGTTGGCCTCTTTCCGCCTTCTTTCTCTTGAGGAATCGCTCAGTTTGCTCTCCCCAGACTTTCAAGTCCTTCCATGTCTTGGATGGTGCTGTCTCCATTGCTTCCAGCACGTCCAACGCGAGGTTGTAGCTTTGATTTCAGAAACATTTTTTATAGCTTGTGGGTTGATTCTCTAATGTTCTGCAAAATGGCTAGATGGCATTTATAATTTCTCATGACATGGTCCAAATTATTTGATAAGAAGAGACACTAACAAAGGGGATCAACGTAATGTATTGCGAGATATTTATCATCTACACTACCCTAGCTGATGAGAGCTCAATTCCTTTGTAAAAAATATTTAAGTTTGATTATGGTGTAAATATTTGTATGCATCTTCTCGGTGCAATCAGCTTACATTGCCATGTAAAAAGACTGAAACAATGTTAGAAACCTGAGAAGCAAAATCATATTTTTTTTGCTTTCAGTTATGCTATTGAAATCACATTGTCAAAATACTTCTACCCTAGGTTTTCCTTCAAGATATCTGATTGGTTCGTGCAGTCAAATTATAGTTTTTTTGGATTCAGGAGATAGATGTATTATATCAAAGGTTGCATTCATTTTGATAGCTGAAGCACTTAGAAGCATGTGTTATATACTGCAACTTAACTCCTACTTAAGTTTGTCATGAAAAAACACTGCACATCTTGAGCTCTATGCAATGATCAATAATGAACGAAACAACAAAGGTTTTTTAAATCCTTGCATCAAAACATTGGGTTACATATGAAATGATTATTTCAGCAACATGAAAAACTCTCAACTAATCCTACTCTTTTGTCATGCTTTCTCAACTATCTCTAAAAATAAAAAACAAAAATCAAAACATTTATCGTCCCCTCGCTGCATAAAAGGATATTGCAGCAAGAACAGTAGTTGCCGGATACAACCACATGAACATTTACCATCCCCTCACTGCAAATTTTTATAACCTTGTTATAATACATTTTAAAAAATTACCACGTGCATTGCACGTGCAATCCAACTAGTATATATATATATAAAAGAGGGTACGCACTGTATACTTATATATACTTATATACTAAGAGAGTATATTTATATATACTTATATACTAAGAGAGAGAGTATAAATATATATATAACACACACACACACACACACACACACACACACACACACACACACACACACACACACACACACACACACACACACACACACACACACACACACACACACACACACACACACACACACACACACACACACACACACACACACACACACACACACACACACACACACACACACACACACACACACACACACACACACACACACACACACACACACACACACACACACACACACACACACACACACACACACACACACACACACACACACACACACACACACACACACACACACACACACACACACACACACACACACACACACACACACACACACACACACACACACACACACACACACACACACACACACACACACACACACACACACACACACACACACACACACACACACACACACACACACACACACACACACACACACACACACACACACACACACACACACACACACACACACACACACACACACACACACACACACACACACACACACACACACACACACACACACACACACACACACACACACACACACACACACACACACACACACACACACACACACACACACACACACACACACACACACACACACACATACATATATTATATATACTAGTATTTAGACCCGTGCAAAGCACGGTTTTTAAAAAGATTTTTTGTAAATATTGAACATGTTACGAAAATAAAAGTATTCTGCAATAGATATGAAGTATAGTGTTGGATGTGAATCGAACAATTAGAATCCTTTCATCTGTGAAATACTAATTAGAAATTAAAAAATGAGCAAAAAATAATATCAAGTTTTAATATTAGTCCCTTAAATATTTAATATTTTGAAACTGGTTTCTCAAATCTTTTAAAAGTACAATGAAATTTCTCTCCCCCTCCAACATGAAATCCTCTTTGCTTTTGTTTTATAATATAATTTAGGAACACAAACCACATTGTTACATTTTTATAACTACCAATTTTATTTTATAATATAATTTAGGAACACAAACCACATTGTTACATTTTTATAACTACCAATTTTATTTTTTCAAATATAGATTAAGAGCATGCAGTCAAATAAATAAACCCGTAAGTTTTGCACAGATAAGTTTGGTAGGGGACGCATTATAAATAGCGTGTCCATTGCTTTGAGGCTAATCGATGCAGACAATCTTAAAAGAAGAGCTTTCCTTTAGCCAAGAAATGAAAATAATCACAGAGGCTCATATGGTGCATTATATAACAATGTAAAGTGTATTTCTACCTATGATGTGGTAACGCCACATTCGAGCTCCTATATACGCTGCAACTTTTGCACCCTACAAAAATATTTACATAGTCCCTACAAAAATAAGAATAAACCAAAAGAAAAATATAAGTTTAGAAATTCAAATTATTTCTTTTTCTATAGAAAATGCAATAAATTACAAATTTTAATGATAATAATACGACCAAGACACATATTAGCCAAAAAAATTAGTAAATCTCATGACTTGGGTCTGCAATAATAAGGATTTTACCATGAAACTCTATATAAATTCATGGAACTGGGTCGAGAATTAATTACCTTAAAGCTGAAAATTTCTGAAAGCTTCTAGGGCTAGTACGAAATGAGAATGGTTATTTTAGAGAGAAAACTAATCTATAATAAATAGGTTCAATAAGCAGTAACCTCGCTATTCATGTATGTAGAAATAACCAATTCGTCAATCTATTTTGTATTTAGATTCTATTGGATGAAACAACAATATTGTCAACTAAAATTTCAAAATTAAATGATAGAGCAAGTTTAGACATCATCAACAGACTATCAAGAAAAAACCAAGAAATTGAGATTTTGTAAGAAAATGAAATAAAATAAGTTTAGTAAATAAATATATAAATATCAAAACCAAGAAATTGAGATTTTGTAAGAAAATGAAATAAAATAAGTTTAGTAAATAAATATATAAATATCAGGATTGAGGACTTCAACATCAGAACAATAAATTTGTTGATATTTGCAGCCTTTATATTCATCAGATTTGCTTGGTGACTCTAGTTATAGCCCCAGACAATCAAGTACCTATTAAAAACCTAGAGTTACCATCAAAAATTCATTCTTCATAACCGCCATATATTCCACTGAGAGAATTGGTAAGGGAGGTGTCTTCATTGGGTTCCATTCAACCAAGGCATCTAAAAAAATCAAAGGAAAAAATCAAATACTTGAAAGAAAATTTGAAAATTTACAACTTTAGAGAGAGAGAGAGAGAGAGAGAGAGAGAGAGAGAGAATTGGTAAGGGAGGTGTCTTCATTGGGTTCCATTCAACCAAGGCATCTAAAAAAATCAAAGGAAAAAAAATCAAATACTTGAAAGAAAATTTGAAAATTTACAACTTTAAAGAGAGAGAGAGAGAGAGAGATTGAAAAGCATATAAAGAGATAAACCGAGATGGGAGCACTCATTGAGTGGCTTCACGTTGTCTTATTCTTAATCTACATTGCCCTAATGCAAATGCCAGCACCGGTACCGGCTTTTCATTAGTCGGATTTGAAGAAGATGAACTCATTGTTCTTTCTTATTTTTTATTGACAAAAGCCAAAGACAAAATTTAGAGGGTAATAAAGAAGTGAGAGATTAGTGGGAATAATTAATGATTAAGAGGGCGGTGCAGTTACAATTTTGTTTTCAAAATTTCAAATACAAATATGATAATTTGTTAATAGAAACCTTTTGCCTAATTTGCAGTAACTACCTAATTAGAATGATGTAGATGAGCAGTGTAATCTTGATTGAAATTTTTTTGAGCGGTTTTTTAGGGCTGAAAAGACGTGGGAGTAATTATAGGATGTGGAAGTTATTATAATGGGATGTTAGAGAGGAGA